CCAAAAGAAAGAGCAACCTCCCTACTCACCGAATCTGACCATCTACCTACCTACACCCCCCCAATTCCGCTTCCCTCTTCCACTTCCTCCCCTCTGCCTTTGACCATCTGTAAAACACAGAGCTCTTTGCTTGACTATGCTATGCCCTCTAGCTGCCACTCTGCCTCTCTACTTGTTTGTACACCAAACTGGGCAGCAGCACCTGCACCCACTATCCCCACTTTTATGCCCCACCCACCCTCATACCTCACAGTCTGCCCTAGCTACTATGTTTTAATAAATAGGGGAAAGAAGGCTATGACTCCTCCCGGGCAGCCTGTCATGCTTTTGTAGGCTTGATTCACATCCTCTTAGCCTTTCTCTTGCAAATCTGAAGAGAGCTTGATGCCTGAAGCTTCTAGAGGAGGTGGCTACCCCAAAGAGAACCAGCAGGGCCGGTAATGACCTGCTTCTTCTCTTGTGTGAGTGCCTTAAGTCACCAGTTTCCGAAAGTCTTAGAGCACTCAAGGTGCAGCCCTGTTCCACCCCAGAGCCCCTCCCCTTCCAGGTATATCCACACACACCTAGGACAGCACCTGTCAACCCAAGGGAAGCAGCTGCCCTTCTGCTCAGGAATGGGGGCTGAACAGGTGAAAGGCGTCCCTGGTGAGCCTCCCCCAGCCCTCCAGGCCCCATGGGACTTGGATAAAGAATGTTGGGAAACCAGAGAGATGACATGGTGATATCAGTTTCCAAGATAGCTGAGAAACTTTTGTGTGTGTGACTACCAAGCTTGCACAGCCTTCCAGGGAAGAGACAATAGTTGGGGAGGGATAAATGAGGGGTGCGAGGGAGTGACCACCCTGAGGGGTGAATGATGCAGGAAGCAGAGGCCAAAGCCTGAGGTGCAATGCTCTGTGAGCCTGAAGGTTTTGTTCTCAGCCTTGGCCTCAGGGCTGCCAGTTTGTATAGATGGGCTCTTGGTTGTGAGGCTGTCCTGGCAGGAGAATGGAGTTGACTCAGTGCTACCATTGGGCAGACAGCACTGGGCACTCACTCCATGGGTGGGGGTGAGGATGGAGGAGGTGGGCCACAGTATTGAGAAATTCCTATTTGCCAGGCACTGTATTAACTCATTTAATCCTCACAGCAACACTCTGAGGTGGGTGCTATTGTTACCTCCATTTTACAGATCAGGAAACTGAGACCCCGATGTGTTAAGTAACTTGACAAAGGTCACCCAGCTAGCAAATTGTAGAGCGATGATCTGAACCCATGCAGTCTGCCTCCAGAGAGCATACTCTTAATCACCTCTCTACTCTCCATTCCATGTTGCTTTTCTTCAGGGGCCTTAGCTCAACGAGTACTTATACGTTCAATAGTGTGATTATATCAGGAAAATCAATCTTTACCATCAGGCTGAAAGCATGAACCTTGCCTGCTTCTCTCTACTGATTCTCCAGCACCTTGCACACAGTAGGTGCTCAGTATGAACTCAAATGAAGAATTGAGCTAATCGATCAGTCGTTGAGTGAGACCTGCCCTTGGCCCTCCCAACTTAGGACATAGGGCTGGCCTCCTGTTCCTACCCCAGCTGGCATCCCAGTGAGAGATGATGTTGTCATGGTGACAGTAGGAACATCAGAGCTTGTGCCTCACTCAGGTGGCCTAGTCAGCTCCCTGGGTGTAAACATTTCTGGCTGTTGGGCCTGGGAGTTAGTGATTCATACTTGGCAGGAAGTTGGGAGATGAACTCCATACAGAGATGTGTGCAAAAGAAGTGTGTGTATGTGTGTGTGTTGGGGAAGAGTCCTCAAGTTTGAATATCTTCCAATTGGGGGGGTTCTTGCCTACGGGTTTGTTGGAAGAGATGCCTAGATCAGGGGAGGGTGGTTTATGTCCTGGGGACAGAATAGGTTGGGGATGGAAAGTGTGGCCATGAGTGGGGCGAAGGTACTGGTCGGGGAGACCTAAATGAGTGTGCCAGGGTAGACAACCCTATTATCCGAAATGAAAACCAAGCACATTGTTCAGCAAGGGCCTTCTGGTTTATGCACGATTTATAGAGAAAATCTTGCAAGGATAAAAATCGAATCACATTCCGTAAACATTTGGTAGATTCTTTATTGGGAAGAATAAATTGATATGAAAATCAGGAATGATGGGATGCTGGAGGTGGGGGCTGGGGAGAGGGATCCGCACCTGCGTGTGTGGCTGGGGAGGGAGAGGGCAGCATGAGGCTCTGAGGACTTGCCTTTAGGCCGCCCTTCATCTCAGCCTTTGGGGCTCAGAGGACCCAGCCCCCAAAGAGGCCTGCAGTGTCTGTGCTTCACCCCGCCTCAGTACCGATCTCCCTCTGATGTGAATGCTTGGTTGAGGGCTGTATCTTCCATTAGAATGTGTCCCTGGCACTTTGTAAGAACTCAATAATTGTTTATTGAATGGGTTAGTTAATGATGAACAGATGAAAGCATGCATCCTCAGCATGTTTCCCTAGCAGCATAATTCCAAGCTAAAGAAACTTTCTTATATTCATGTATTTATGTGCCTTCTTACAACCCTGCCCTCCTCACTATGCAAACACAGCAAGAAGGTACCTAGGTCTCTCTATGGTCATAGGAGAAAGCTTTAGTTAAGGAAAAACTTGGAGTGATGCCCCGTCCCTGGCCTGGCCTCATGTCAGAGTCCCCAAAGCCCACAGTCTGAAAATGACATGAGATCTGAATGGGCTCCACGGTCATCAGCAACTTCTCCCTGCCTCTGCCAAACCTTGCAGCGGCTGGGAGGACAGAGCAGAAGCAAGCCTCTAGACACCAACCAGGTGGAAACAGGCCGCCTTGCCTACCAGCACAGGGTTGGCTGAGAACAGCCCCCGTTCCAAAGACTAAAGTTAGAAGAGGAAATTGTCTCCACTCTACTTTTTCCCTAGTTAATCCCAGAGATGATATGAGCCCCTACTGTGTGTAGATCTCTTTAGAGCTGGGGAAGGGGAGGAGCAGGGAGATGCAGCAGCTTCTACGTGTGATCCCGGTGTCCACCTGTGCGTGCTGAAGGCCTGATATTAGTTCCCTCCTGTGGAATCAGTGTCCATCCATCCCCTTCCCCAGTCCTACCTGTCCTTCAGGGCCCAGCTTAAACAGTACTTACAGAGTACTTCTTTTGTGCCAGGAACTGTTCCAAACTGGCATATATATTTTTTTCACACTCATTTAATTATAATCATATGAGGCAGATCCATTGTTATTCCCATTTTACAGATAAGTAAACCAGGACACAGAGGGGTTAGGTAAGTTGCCCAGGATCACACAGCTAAACAATGGTATAGGGAATCAACGCCACCTCCTCCATGAAGCTTTCCTTCTTTGAGCCTTCCCAGTGAATAGCCTCACTGTACTATGAATTCAGAGATGCTGATCTTTGTGAATGACAAAGCTCCCTTACCGTGCCGTAACGAGTGCTTCAGCATCAGAATCCCTGGCAGAGTGACGTCTGCACCCCTCCACAATGCCACGCACAGCGTCTGGCCATAGGATAGCCTGCCCAAGGGATCGCTGACCATGTGAACGAATGGCAGTAGGTGCGTGAGTATGTGGATGAACCAACACACTAGTTAGTGAGGAAGATAGGAGAGTGGAATTGGGATTTTCCCAGATGAAGAGGTGAGCTCACAGCCTGGTGGGAAGGGCACAAAGGCAAGTACGGAGACCCAAGTGGGAACAGCCATCCTTCAGGAACATGCTTGCCACTGGGTGCCCAGCACTGGCCAGGGACCTTGAGGGACAGTCATAAAAGGTCCCCATCTTCAGGGGGCTTCTAAGTTGAGTGGGAAGATCATATGAACACACAGCAAGCCACCGGAGAACAAACAGAACAATGGCTGCTGCCCTGGGGGTGGAGGGGTCAGCCAGAGAGGTAGGACTAGCATCTGGGAAGCCGGCGGTGGGGAGGGGTGTGTGTGCAGGTACCGCGTAGGAGGAGAGAAGGTGAAGCCAAGAGAGGAAGGTGGCCACTGAAAGACAAGGACGCAGGAATGAACGTGGTGATTCGGAGAACCTGAGGAACTGTGAGGGCACGGGGCGCCTGAAGGGGACTTATAAAATGAAGTCGGTGGGGAGAGAGGGTTAGGGATTTAGAAGCCTCCGTCTGAGCCAGTATCGTTTGTATATGATTTTTGCTAGTACTCTAAATACATATTTTAAATTTTGATAAGTACTTAAAATAAATACTTATTCTTAAAATTGAATTATGTTTTTAACTTATATGTATTACAAAAGGAAACTTTGCATCCCTGCCATAAATTGAAAATTGGAATAGAATAGAAAATAAAAATAAGTACAAAAGAAACAAAACCAAGTTACTGCTTTAGTCTATTTGGGCTGCTATAACATAATACCACAGACTGGGTCACTTGTAAATAACAGAAATTTATTTCTCACAGTTCTGGAGTCTGGGATGTCCCAGGTCAGAGGGCCAGCATGGAGCTCTGTGGGTTCTCTTTTAAAAGAGCAAAAATCCCGTTCATGAGGGCTCCACCCTCATGACCTAATCACCTCCCAAAGTCTCCACCTACTAAATCCATCACTTTGGAGGTGAAGATTTCTCCATATGAATTCTGGGGATACACAAACATTCAGAACATTGAAGTTACTGAGTCCCAGCTGGGCAGTGCTCCCTTTGGAGGTTCTGAGCCTGAAGCCCATTCTCTCTTTGCTAAACGGGAAAACAAGAGAGTGTTAGAGAGGTGTTACAGACATATTAACACCCAACCAAGGCTTTCCTCCACTCGGAGAGACCGGAAGAAGACTGTAAGGGCATAACACTCTCCTTCTGTGATTCAGTACTGTCTACTGCCTGGATCGTGTACTCCTGTGTACCCCAGAGCTCTCTCCATGCTTCCTTGAGCCAGCCTCCGTTTTAAGTTACTGATTCATCCTTAATGCCTGGAGAGGAGCCCTGGCCCCAGCCCCTGGTCCACCCGCCCTGGCCCCCAGTCATAGCTGGAGTGCTTCTCTTTCCTGCAGGGAATACCAACAGCATCTTTGCCCTGGACTACATCAGTGGGGCGCTGACCTTGAATGGCCTGCTAGACCGGGAGAACCCCCTTTATAGCCATGGCTTTATCCTGACTGTGAAGGTAAGAGCTGCACAACCTCCATCTGGGCAGAGAGGCGCCCACACTGTGGTGCCAGCCTCCAGAAGTGTCCAAGGTGGAGGCTCCCAGGAGGTGCTTCACTTCCACTCCCTGTGCTGATTCCCGGGGCTCATGCCAACGCATATCCAGCATAGGCCATGTAGAGGAATTTGCTGGGCACATCATAAGTGCTCGTCCTGTAGTCCTTACTTTGATCTGTAATTCCAAGCTCTCCATTGTAGCCATCTCAGATTCTTAAGACTACTCCATTTCTGGGATTTTGTCCTATTTCTAATTCCCACAGCTCCCCTAGGGCTATTACCTTGTTAGAAGCAGCAACTGCAACAGGGAGGGGCGTCAGCTGCAGTGGTACCCACTCGGGAAGGTGTGGTGGAGCCACAGCCCCTGGACCCTGCAGCCACCTGCCACTCATGGCTGGTTTTAATTAAAATCAATGGCTTGCTGAGCCATTCCCTCGGAAACCCATTTCAGGCATGGATCCTGCCTGGGCCACAGGGGTCCTCGCCAGCCATTGATTGAGGCAAGGGCGTGGCGCAAAGCCTGAGGAGAGGGGCTCTGGGAAGGAGCCCTTTTGTTGGTGCAGGAAGGATGGTGCAGCCTGGCTCTTAATTGTTCTCCTTAACCTTGAGAGGGCCTGGGGCAGCAATGGGTTAATTAGCCCCCTCTAACACACTGGCTCTTTCCTCTCCACCTGATGTACACCTGAAGTGTGGGCCAACTGGGAGAGGGCCTGCAAACACAGCCTTTTCCAGACCCAGCACCAAGCCTGTGTGCCCTCCGCATCCTCCCCTCTTTCTCTGCTCCCTTACTGTGGAGCTGCTCCCTAGTCCCATTGTAACCACCAACTCACTGTGGGACCCTGAAATTAGTTGATTCACCTTTATATAAAATGTGAGGATAAGTTCCCAAACTTTGCTATGAATCTGAATCCCCTAGGGATCTGATGAAACATACCTAGTCCTGGGCCTCTCGCCCAGACACTCTGGTTCAGAAGATTGGAGTGGGAACTGAGAATAGGAATTTGGGGGCCCGAGAGATTGAGCATCCAGGTATCTGAGTCCATCTTACTCCTGAGTCCAATCTAGAACATCACAGTGCCTGGCACAAAGTTCAGTCCATAGCAGATGCTGAATTAAGTCTTGACTACCTGCTAACATAAAAAATTATTGGCCTCATTTCATCTGTCGAATTGCATGCAGACTCTCCTTTTGCACTTCGATGAGCCCCAAAATCTGTTTTGTCCTTCCCACCCCACCTCAGCCCCTTGGTTCTAGAATCCTGCTGCCTGAGTTGGACACCTACTCTGGCTGTGTGTCCTTGTACAAATTATTTAGCCTCTCCGAGCCTCAGTTCCCTCATCAGTAAAATGGGGATCAGTAAAGCAG